TTGGCTGTCTGGCGCCACAAGTAAGTCATCCACATACTGCAAGAGACTGAGGTGGGGATGCTGAGCCCGATACCCAAATCCTCATGTAATGCCTCATCAAAAATGGTCAGTGAGTTTTCGAACCTTTTGGGAAGCCTAGTCCACGTTGCCAGTTAAGTCCTTTGTCCAGGTCATACCATTCAAAGGAAAAATAGTCTTGACTCTTCGGGGCTAAGGGAAGGCTAAAGAAGGCATCTCTTAACTCCAGAACCATGTTCTGGCAGGAGTGCACTTAATAAAGTATAAGGATTAGGCACTGTAGGGTGAATATCCATCACCCGTTTGTTCACTTCCTGTAGATCCTGCACCGGCCTATAACAATTGGAATGGGGCTTCCTTACTGGCAGCAGGGGGGGTTTCCATGCTGATTGCCAGGGCCTTAAAACCCCTGAGTCCAATAATCTCCTGGTATGAGGAGTGATGCCCAATTGGGCCTCCAAGGACATTGGATACTGACGAATTTTGGCTGGATCAACTCCTGGTTTTAGTTCCACAAAGATTGGAGCCCAATGTTTAGCTAACCCCAACCCTCTGGTTTCGGCCCATGCTGAGGGGAATCTCTTCATCCAGGCCTCAATGGCCGAATCTGGTGTCAGGGTGGGTTCGTATAAACGATATTCATCCATCAAGGTAGTGGTCAACACATCGATGGGCTCTCTTGATTTGTCTAATATTCGGGTGCCTTTTGATGAGAAATGTATCTGGGCTCCTAATTTTGTCAACAGATCCCACCCCAGCAAGGGGTATGGGCATTCTGGTATGACCATAAAAGAATGGGATACCCGGCCCATTCCCTAGTCCACTGTTCTTCGGGTAGTCCATGGATATTGTTTCATTCCCATGCCCCCCTAGACCCATGATACTTTGTTTAACAAGGGGACATCGGGCTTTAGGAGCACTGAGTGTTGGGCTCCTGTAGCCACCAAAACTCCTTTAGGGTTACCCTAGGTTCAGGGAGGGGGGCCAAATCCCATGTCCCCTAGTTACTATCTCCTGTCCCAAGGTTGAGTACCTTGGTGGGGCTTTTCTTATTGGGGCATTCTCTAGCCCAATGGCCTTCTTCTTTACAATATACACACTGATTTTTCCCTAGTTGCCCTCTTTTCTGAAAGTCTTACCTTCTTTCCCCAACGCTATCTGTCTCAGACGCCTCTGCTGGTCCTCTGGATCCACAGTGGCAGCCAGCAGGATCCTTGCCAGGTCCTTGTTCTGCCTCCTTTCTGCCTTTATCTGTTTTTCCTCTGCACTATCCCTATTATTGTACACTTTCTTGGCCACAGTTATTAAATCCCTTAAGCTCTTCTTACCCAGTCTCTCCACTTTTTGGAGATTTTTCTTTATATCCAGAGCCGACTGGTTAACAAAAGCCATGGCCACTGTCACTAAATTATCTTCGGCCTCCGGGTCTAATGGAGTGTACCTGTGGAAGGCATCCATTATTCGCTCCAAGAACACAGCTGGGCTTTCATTTAGTTCCTGATTAATATCATATACCTTTGCCAAATTAGTTGGCCTACAAGCAGCTGCTTTGAGACCTGCCAACAGAGCCTGGCGGTAAATCAGAAGCCTTCCCTTACCTTCTGCAGTATTATAATCCCAATCAGGCCAGGTCAGTGGATAGGCAGCACAATCAATGTCGGGTCAGTAGTAGGGACACCAGTATTGCCAGGAATAAATTTCCTGGCTTCTGTTTGGATGCATTCTCTTTCCTCTGTGGTAAACAAGACCTTTAATAATTGATGACAATCATCCCAAGTGGGTTGGTGTGTGAATAAGACAGTTTGTAATAAATTAATAAGCTCCTTAGGATTTTCAGAAAAGGAAGCATTCTGGATTCTCCAGTTGTAAAGCCACTAGTGGCGAATGGCCAATAGTGATGGGGCTGGTTGCCGGCCTTATCCACAGGGCCAGCGACTCTGAGGGGTAGAACAGTAGAGTCTGGACACTCTGGTGTTGCTGCCCTTCTCCTAGTCCCCTGACTGAGCCGGTTCCCCCTGTGCCTGTGAAGAATCTGGTACCAGGGGTGCCAGTCCTGGAGGGGGTACCTCCTGCAGAGGAGGTGGATAAGGAGGGGGAGGAAAAATTAGATCTTCTGTGCTGGCCTGTAAGACAGGGTACAGTGACGGTACTGATGGTTTGGTTTCAGGTTTAGGTGTTTTCTGGGTTGTCATTTTCCATTCTGCAGCCATCAGCACCTCAGTTTTCTGTAAAGGAAGAAAAGACTTGACCCAAGGAGGGGGGTTATTAACTAAATCTCCCCAGACCACTATGTATGATATTTGATCCAAGTGTCCCACATGTGGTTGAAGAATAATTTTCTCAACCGTGTTAATGACAGCAGGATCAAAGGTCCCCTCCGAGGGCCATCCCACATTGAAAGTGGGCCATTCAGACCTACAGAAAGTAATTAGTTTATCCGAAAGTAGTTAGTTTATTCTTCCTGACAACAACAGAGAGGTTATGGGCTCGAATCTTAACCTCTCCAAAATGTGCAAGAAGCAGGTCTGGGGGTGTAGAGGGAGTCTGTCCCACTGCGTCCATCTCAGTCACAGAGAAACAGACAACCAAAGACAAAACAGAGAGCCAGAAAAAAACGCAGAAGGCCAAGTAGCAAATTCCCCCACTTGTGCTGAAGAAAAACTTAAAGTAGGACAATGGAGAACTGCTGTGCTGCGGGAGCGACCTGTCTTGTTGATTTCACAGAAATCAACAGAGTCCGGGGCCCTCCGTCCCCTCTGCTGGGGTCTGGGACGTCTTCTAGACCTCTGTGGTCATGGTCATCTAGCGTGTCCACTCCAACCACTCCTGACCACACTGTTCACAAGTTTGCCTCGAGGCTCAGAACAAAAGCTAGGACAGACACAGACAGGCACAACTAGAAACAAACAGACACTTAACGGCCGGCCAGGAACCCTCCGATTCGGGGGTCCTGGGGGGGGTCTTGGGGATCCCAGACAAGCTCCCAAGATGTTGTGCCCAGTTTGCGAGATCCCCCAAAGACCACCAAGGAGCCGACTGATGCAAACACACAAGGGTTTTTTTTTATTGTGACAAGCTTAAGCTTGGGCCCACTGTCACCAACCCAGCGAATCTCAGATGTGAGACCCCCTTGCTTTGAGAGACAGAGGTTTTTATAGATTTATTTCAGCAAGTTCAGCAAGTAGGGGAGTAGGGGGTCTTCAGCCTGGCAAGCATCTGATTGGTTGCAGCCCAGTGCCAAACCATAAACTGCTGGCTTCAGGAAATCTGAAAAGACATCTGGACTTTTCCGGTCCCAAGTTAATTGACTGTTGGCAGGGGAGTTGTTCTCTATCCATTCCAAGTATACTTTTTTTTTTTTTTGGTTTTTCCTGGAACAGGGCTCAGGGCTGGGTCAGTCCCATGAAGGTTTTATCCAAGATGGAGTCACTCACACTAAGGGTGCCACCTGCTGTGGCTCAGTGCTATGAAACACAGCAGGCTATAAAAACTGCTCAAAGCCAGCTCTAGTAGTCACCCATCCTCAATTATAAAGGTATCTTTATAATTCTCCAATTTGTTATCTTAAGATATGGTCTTGCTATTGTAGTAGCCCAGGCTGGCCTCTAACAGGAACACCTTTTTTTTTTTTTGGTCCTTTTGAGACAGGGTCTCCCTGTAGCTCCAGCTGTCCTGGAACTCACTATATAGACCAGGCAGGCCTTGAACTCACAGACATCTGCCTGCCTCTGCCTCCCGAGTGCTGGGATTAAAGGCGTGTGCCACCACACCCAGCAAGAACATCTTAGGTGCTGGAATTAGATGTGGAACATGCCAGACTCCCAGTCTTGTTTTGTTTTGGAACAGATTCACCATGTAGACTGGTCTAGCTTGGGCCTCCTGGTGATCCTCCTATTTCAGCTTCCTGAGAGCTAGGATTACAGATACATGCCATTTGGCCTGGCTCTAATCTTTAATTTTCTTTGCTATGCTGTTAGGTTTTTTGCTACTATTTCCTCTGTGTCACCAGCTCAGCCTGCACTACTTTAAGTAGCCAAAAAGAAGCCCTTCAATTTGAGATAAGTCTTTCATTGAGCCTAGTGTTGGAAACACCAGGAGACAGCACAAGTGTTCCCTAGCTTGCTGTGAGCCTGATCCTACTGCTTATAAAGCCTAGGGACAGATATTTGGACAAATCACAGCCGTTTGCTTGAATCAATCACAGCCTTATCTCTTAGCAATCAATCACGGCAGTCACTCTGATAGGGCACCAGAGGAAGTGTCCCCTCTGCAACCTAGATGGTCATGGGTTTCAAGGTCATTTAGGGTTCAGAGGCTTGTGATAACAAAAAACTGGTGCCTCTTTCAAGCAGCCCTGGTTGACGCTGTGCCTTCAGGAGCTGGGGCAATCAGCTTTGATCATTGTGCAGTTTTTTCGCACGTGTCTGTGGAGTGTACCAGATAGCTGGTGCTGGCATTAGGGCAGTTCAGCTGGCTGTTTGACAAGGACCTGTCCCTTTTGTTGGGACGGCCAGGGCAGCAAGGTGGAGTCCAAGAGCTGCCAATTAGGGAGTCAATTGTCCCATCCTCAACTTTGCCTATCTACAGGAAAATAAAACATCAGGAATGCTTACAACACAAAGTTATCAATAATAGTGACCCTAACAACAGTAATGCCTCACATCTGCTCGGGCAGCGAAGGGCCCACGCTTCAGTGTCACCAGGCCTCAGTACAGGACTCGTGGGCAGGCGAGCAGGAGATGCCGCCCAGGACCGCAGGCCACAGCGTTTTCCAGGCGGCTCCAAGATCCGTTAATGCCCTGTTTTCCGCGAAGTGCGACCCCAAGGTGAAAATGAGACTTCCGGTCCCCAGGGTACGCACGCGCCAGGCGTCGCTCCCTTCTGGTTGGCCAGCCGTGAGAAGTTTCTCCGTTCATTGTATAGACAAACGGCATTCGGGTAGCAGAATCCCAAACCCTTGCCCCCGCGCATGCGCCACCTGGTTTCCCGGCGTGCTCCGCGCGAACTTCCGGTGTCGGGAGCTGGTGGTGGAACTCTGAGCACCGGAGTGGCTCTGGGTGGTGTGGAGGCGGGACCGGCGTCGGGAGCCACCTGATTCCCGGTGGGACTTGGAGCTCTGGTGTGGCTCGCTGGGCGACTCCACCTGGTCCCGGAGCAGCTCCGTCCAGTCCCCGGGGCAGCTCCGCAGAGCCCGCCGCTTCTGCCAGGCTGCTGGGAACTGCCTCGCCTGCCACGACCTGCCGAGCGACCCTGGTGAGTCCAGGCCCTCCCCGAGGTCCTCGGGCACTGGAGGATGAGAATGGAGGCTCGTGAAGAGAAGAGTAAAGTTCTTTTGTGGTAGTGGAGAAGAATTGGAAACCGCCCGAATGATCACTCGGGTTGGTTGAGAAACTGGAGCACCCCCATTCAGCGGAAACCTAATGAAGAAACATTGCTAGGTGATAAACGCAAAATCCAACGTGTAGTATGTGCACTAAGGTCGCATTTATGTAAAACACATACCAAGCACTTTTCGTTTCTATAGATAACAGCTTTCAGTAAAAGAACAGGGAAAAGCATGGGACTATCATAAATCAGATTGTCAGCGAATCGAAACACCTAATACTGTATTAACATCCCTCCAGGTTTTTTTTTTTTTTTTTTTTTTAATTTCGGCGTTTGTGCTAATTAGACTGTTGAAACAGAAAGGCAAAAATTAAAATCACACTCATGAGAGCTACTGTGAAGTACTAGTGACAGAATACAAATATATGCCATATATTCATACATAGTTGTGGATAGATGGCTTTGGATGATGTCCATGAACCCTTCTCTGATACCACCCCTCTCCTTGTAAGATGTTTTTGGAATTCAGAGTTTTCAATTTTGAGGAAGAATGGTATGTCCTATCAACATCTCCTAAGGGACTTGAGGCAACATGCAATAATCAAACACAACACATAACAAAAAAATTGATACTGTTTTGCCCTGTAGGCCAGGCTTCCCTCTGACTTTTGACACTCCTGTCTCAGCCCCAGATCATTGAGATTACAGACATGCATCAGCAAAGACCACATATACCACCATACCCAGTTAAAAATGACAATTGGAATGTGTACTGAAAAACTGTGAATACAGCACAATGATGTGGGGATTTTGTTTTTGAGACAAATTCTGACTATGTAGCCTTGGCTGATCTGGAACTTGCAATGCAGACCAGCCTGGCCTTGAACTCACAGAAATCTGCCTGTCTCTGCCTCCTGAGTGCTGGGAGATCGTGTGTGTGTGTGTGTGTGTGTGTGTGTGTGTGTGTGTGTGTGTATTTTTTTTCACATTTTTAAAATTTATACGTAAATTTTAAAGATAGTCTCCTCCTGTATTCCAGACTGATCTAAACTCTCCATGTAGCTGAAGATGACCTTGAATTTCTAATCCTCTTGCCTCCACCTCCTCCATGGTGCTAGGATTACATGTATACACTACCCCACCCAGTTTAATGCAGTGCTAGGGATGGAACTCAGGGCTTCCTGCATGCTAGGCAAGCACTCTGTCAACTGAGCTATATCCCCAGCTGGCTCAGTGCATCTTTATAGATGTAAACATGTTCATTCCTGCTGTAAAACATGGACCGTTATATTAAGTACTATAAATGGAGATAAAAATATACTCTGTCCACATGTTCAATAGTGCTTCTAAATGAGTGTGACTAGGTTTTGCTATCAAATGAACCATGGCAAACCCAGGTTTGAGAAATCAGGGGATAAAGGATTGTGGGTCTATATTACCAGTAGACAGTCACATAGTGCAAGCCATTACAATAAGGCCTAAAGAGGCTTTAGAGGCACAAAAGCATATAGGTACAAGAGTCCCTGGATGTCCCTTCAGACTGGTATTCCACTCCTACCCAAATGCTGTTCTTTTGCTCTTTCCCTAGGAGTGTGTGTCCCGATGCCAGCCCAGCTGCCACAGAGGGTCCCTCTGGAAGACTAAAAGGGTCAGCTCTGGAGCCCAAGCCAAGGCGGACTAGCCCTGAGCCTTAGGCCAGGGGAATGGCATCCCTCCAGGAGCCCCAAGACCAGGATCCAGGAGAGGGTGAAGGACTTCTGATTGTGAAGGTGGAAGATTCCTCTTGGGAGCAGGAACCTGCCCAGCAGGTGGACAGCAGGGATTCAGAAGCCTGTCGCCAGCGATTCCGTCAGTTCTGCTACAGGGATGTGGGTGGACCACATGAGGCCTTCAGCCAGCTCTGGGAACTTTGTTGCCGCTGGCTACGGCCGGAGCTTCATAGCAAGGAGCAGATCCTGGAGCTGCTGGTGCTAGAGCAGTTCCTGACTGTGCTGCCAGGGGAGATCCAGGCCCAGGTGCAGGGACAGTGCCTAGGGAGTGGTGAGGAAGCTGTCGCTTTGGTAGAGGATCTACAGAATCAGTCATTGAAAGCCTGGCCTCAGGTGAGGGGTTCCTCTCACATCTAGGAGTAAGTACCTGGATGGTACCTAAGCTGAAGAGTAGAGGCCATTTTCATGGAGATGAGTCTCCAAGAGGTTCAAGGGGTGGGGAAAACAGCAGGTCTAAGGAAGCAAGCACAAAACCCCATGTACTGTTAGTTTTGTAAAAGATGAGTCTAAAGTCAAAGTACTTTGTTTTTGGTGACCTCCGGTTAAAGAAGTTATGTTCCAGAAAGGTTTTAGCTCCACACAGGTTCTGTAAACAATTATTCTTGTTTTGCTCTGGCCAGACCCCTGAGACACAGTGATAGGCACTGGAGTGCCAGAGGGGTATGGGAAGGTAGAGCTATCCACAGATACCCTTGCCAGTGTCTCTGACACTAGAAGCATCTGGAGAGGCACTGGTGAGCAGCCAGGGTATGGGATTCTGCCTTTGGCAGGAAGGTTCCTCCATTCCTCTCTTGTTAAGTGGCTGTAATCTACCCTTTAGGGACTGGTTCTTGCCTCTTGGTTGATCATAGAGCATCCTTGGGCCCAAAGCACTGTCTAGTGTCATATTTTCTTCTGGACTTCTGGGTCTCTGTGTTGATCTACTTGCCTCAGTCACCTAAAGGATGTGCCCCCTGTCTCCTTCCCACAGATTAAGTTGGGCCACCACACCCCACACACCTCCAGTTTGGTTTCTGTACTGATAGGCATGTTATGATTCCTAAACAGGATGTACCCTCAGAGAAAGTGGAGCCTGAGGCTGCAGTCCAGGGATCCCAAGCCAAAGGGCCTCCCCTGATGGCAGGTGTACAGAAACAACCACCTATACCCCTGGAGCAGCACAGCCATGGTGAGTAAGCCTCTTCCTTATAGTCAGCAGTATGGACACTAAAGGCTAGACTCCTTCTCCAGCATTGTCCTGAGGGTGACTCACAGTGAAGCCCAGTCATGTCCAGTCACATAGGCATGTGTGTGCATGCATGTGCATGTGTGCACCTGTGTGAGTGTAGGGGCAGCTATCAGTCTCAGTCCTTGGCCTTGGCCTCTATGAGACTCTGTTCTTTTCCTTCAGCCCAGCTTCCTGCTCTTCTTAAAGAGGGATGGACAGGAGAGAGGATGGATGATGCCTGCTTTGCGTCTGGGGTTCATGTGAGTTAGCAATCCCTTTGTCCTCTCAGAGGGCCTCAGTGCTATTGAGTATATAATCTGATCCCTCCTGTCCCCTTCCACAGCTATCTGGGAGACCTGAGCTGGGTCATATTTCCTCATTGCGAGGACCTGTGGCATTGGGAGACATCCCTTTCTATTTCTCCCGTGAAGAATGGGGCTCCCTGGACCCTGCTCAGAGGGATCTCTTCTGGGACATAAAGAGGGAGAACTCCCGGAACTCTGCCCTGGGTAAGCAGGTCTGTGGGGGGCCCTCATCCTGCTGTAATACCATTTTCCCTCCCTGACTCTTCCCTTAGAAAGTTCCAAAGCAGACTTTTTCTGAGTCTCCTTGAGAGCCTTCAGTGATGTTCAGTTTTCTTTGCCTCTGTGGGTTATGTGACCAGTGTTCTCCATGTGCCAATTCTGTGCTGAGAGCTTGGAGGGGTATTGTCTCGTCTGAGTCTCACAAGCAGGTGCACAGGAGTCTTATCCCTGTTTTATAGACAAAGACCTGTGATTCACTGAGGCTGATGAAGCCTGCCAGCTGCAGAAATGCCCAAAACAAGAGCCCTGGTTGCACTCTACCATTTGAAGCCACACCAAGCCCTTTCTCAGCACTATTTGGGAGCATCTTTTTTTTTTTTTTTTTTTTTTTTTTTTTTTTTTAAAGTACTGTGCAGAAACAAGAGACACCTTGCTTGCCTCAGAAACAAGGTAGGAGAGAAGTAAATCCAGAAAGTTGTCCTCTAACACACATTACTGCATTCACACACATCAAACACACACACACACACACACACACACACACAAATATAAATATGTCTTTTTGAGACAGGGTCTCCCTGTAGCTCCAGCTGTCCTGGAACTCACTATGTAGACCAGGCTGGCCTTGAACTCACAGTGATCTGCCTGCCTCTGCCTCCCAAGTACTGGGACTAAAGCCATGGGCCACCACTCCCTACCTACAAGGAATTTTTAAAAAGTTACATTTTAGTATTTTTATTTTGTTTGCATGGGGTGGGTTTGGGCGAGTGGAGACAAATTCCTTTGGAAATTGGTTCTCTCCTTCTACCGTGTGGGTTTCTGGGCACTAACTCAGGTCATCAGGCTTGGTGGCAGGCATCTTGACCCACTGAGCCATCTTGCCAGCCCGTCCAATCGTTTTATGGATAAGAAGACTGAGGCTTGATTTGGCTGAGCCATAGCAGTTCGAACCTCAAAACCAGGGAGATTTCCCCAAGCCGCATTTCTTCAAAGCCTTTCCTCCAATCCCAGAGCCAAGTGGGACTAAAGACGCTGCCCCTCCCCTCTTGCAGGTTTGGAACCCAAAAGCCCGAGAGAGAGGGCTCCGCTGGAGGAGGCCATGACCGCATTGTCGGGCCAAGGAGGCTGTGAAGTAACCATGTCCTGGAATCCTGAGGAGACGGAGACGTGGAAGAGTGAGAACCAGCCTGGGACAGCCCTGGGACAGCTGGTGGTGGCAGGGCGCGGTCGGCCGCCCAATCGGCGGCGCCAGTTCCGAGACCTGGTGACCGAGAAGCCGCATGGCTGTGGGCAGTGCGGGAAGCGCTTCCGCTGGGGCTCAGACCTGGCCAGGCACCAGCGCACGCACACCGGTGAGAAGCCACACAAGTGCCTGGAGTGCGACAAGAGCTTCCGCAGCTCCTCAGACCTGGTGCGCCATCAGGGCGTGCACACGGGCGAGAAGCCCTTTTCCTGCTCCGAGTGCGGCAAGAGCTTCAGCCGCAGCGCCTACCTGGCAGACCACCAGCGCATCCACACGGGCGAAAAGCCCTTCGGCTGCAGCGACTGCGGCAAGAGCTTCTCCTTGCGCTCCTACCTGCTGGATCACAGGCGCGTGCACACGGGGGAGCGGCCTTTCGGCTGTGGGGAGTGTGACAAGAGCTTCAAGCAGCGTGCACATCTCATTGCGCACCAGAGCCTACACGCTAAGATGGCCCAGCCGGTGGGGTAAACTGCCAATTAGGGATCCCAGCCACTCAGCGAGGCGGACGCAACCAGAGACTCCCGCAGCACCTCTTCCTCTGTCCCCCCATATTTGCCACCCATCTACGATCACTGCCCAGCCTTTTCGAGGTCCCTAGGGCCCTGCACTCAGAAATGGCCGGCCAGTTCCCAGGATCCTGCCGCCTTGTCTTTCTCCTTATTGTTCTGAATTTCTCTTCCACTCCAAATTCCTGGAGCTTCGCACTTTCCTGTGGGGCAGCAGGTGATACTAGGCCTCAGCCAGAGCCTAGGGTTTCTTCCCAGAACCCCACCCCCAAGCCTTGCTTGGCCAGAGCTCTTTGTTTCCTGCCTTCTCAGGTGGGTCCATGGGCCCAGCCAGGTTCTCTGCCCTGCCAACCTGTGCCTTCTAGTGGGGATTGGCCTCCATCCCCAGAGAACTGCTGGGCTGTGGGAAAGACCATGGGCCCACACCTATGAGAACCTAGATCCTGTGGGTGGCCACAGTGACTTCCTGGCCCTCCTCCCCCTTGTACTTCCAGGCTGTGACCACTGTGTCCTGTCCTAATCACAGGAAGCTGCCTACTTGTCCTGCTGTGAGCCAGGAGGAGACACTTACCTGTGGATCTGGAGGTGGTGGTGGCGTCTCTAGCATCGGGCTAACCTGGAGACAAGGAGCAGGGGGTGAGCAGAGGTTCCCTGCTCACCCACTCCTCCAGAGTTATGGCCTTTGTTGTACTGAACACTAGCACTCCATCAGCACTTTGTGGCTGACTTCTCAAGCACTGCATTCCATTTTCTGTCTGCATTGTGTGCAGATTCACATTAACAGGGTCAGACTAGGAACTCTCCAAAGGGGCTCAGCCCAGTGGACCTCAGAAGGGTTTGAATAAATGTGAAAATGTGCCTCCAGGTTGTCATTCTTTAGGGTGGGGGCCTGGAAGTCTATCTCTTGACCCCTTGGCCTGGTTACTCTGGTGGCTCTTGGTATGTGCAGTCACCAGGGGGAGCTGCATCCTGGTCCTGCAGAAAGGCTCGGTCTCAGCCCTGGGACTCTCATTCCCAGTCAGGCCTAGTTTGGGCCACCCTCCTGGCCCTGGCAGAGTGGGGAGCCAAGCATGACTTAGGGCCTTTATCAGGTCCTCTTTTACCATCAGTGGTGAAATAAGCAAGGGGCTAAAGTGGCACTGACTGGTTGAGTGAGGGAATGTGCCTGCTGTTCAGTAAGACTCAGAACTAAAAGCTGTCCTGGGTGTACTTGAGGCTGTCAGGGAGAGAGGTTGATCAGCCAAAATGAATTTGGCTCCAGCCATTCCTCAGCATCCCACTTCCCCTGTGCCTGGTATAGGCTGGGGCCTATACAGATCTGATTGTGCCTGATCAGGGCCAGTCAGCCCTCCTCTGACTCTTGCTGGTGCTTTCTGTTCATCTGGTGGCAGGCAGCCTTAGGGGGCCCCACCTGGGGACAGGTGGAGACAAGATGTTCCTATCCTTCATTGACTGATCTGTATGTACTCACCTTTGCCCCTGGGTCCATTCCTCTGCCAGGCCCCAGTAACCTGTTAAAGCTCATCTGTGGTCTCAACAGCCCGTTTCCCAGAAGAAGCAATCAAGGTCATACTGTGGACAGGCAGGTTCCAGTCAGGTATTCCTGCTTTTGTGGGCTGTGCTATTGTGTGTGTGGGTGTGTGTGCATAGTGGTGTGATAGGGTGAAAAGGGTGCTGGGGACAGTATGAAGGCTTTCTAGTGCTTGTGGCTACCTCCTAAGGGAGATACTCAGGTGTAACAAGATCAGATAGAAGCGTGGGCCAAGAGCTAAGAATAGAATTAGGTACAGGCTCTTGGCTTAGGTGGGAACACATCAGTGCCAGCCAGGAAATCACCAACCAGAGTCAGAGGAGCCTCTCTGGAGGAGTGGAGCCCAGGCTTCCAGGGAAGGGCAGAGTCCAGATGGGATCATAAGCTGTTGATAGGCAATCTGTGTAGAGGGCAAGGATCAGGCCCCAGGGTGCTGGGAGCCAGGGGCTAGGAAGTGAGCTCTGGGATTGGAGGAAGCCCCACCTGACCCTCATGGCCTTTCTAGTGTCTGGGACCCTACAGGTGGCTGCACAGTTGGCGGATGCTCGGGACAGCCTGGGGAGAAAGGTAGTGAGAGACTCCAGCAGACCCAGCCCATTCCCAGCAACCAGCTATGTCCCAGCCCAGTCCAGCTCTGGCTTTTCTTCCCCAGGGAAAGTACAATGTGCAGGGTTCAAGGGCAGCTCTGACACTCAGCAGTCCTGGGGTGTCTGCTACCACGGTTGCTGCCCTGGATGGTGTGTTCCAGGCGCTGCGCTTTGAAAATTGTAAGAGGGAGGTCCCAGTTCAGGTGAGCCTTCATCCCGTGACACCCTCAACACCTACCCTCATCTAGTGCTTCATGAGACTTAGTCCAGGCTTGGCTCTTTCTCCTAGGGCTTCCTTGAGGAGCTAAGGTGGTTCCGGGAGCAGCTGGATGCCTATAGGGGCCCTGTGGGTTGTGTCCTTGTGTCCTTGGTAGTCCCCAGTGGGCAGCTAAGGCAGCTACAGCCACTGGTCCAGGAGCTGAATCACTGTGAGACCCTGCGGGGCTGCCCCAAAATCTTCCTGCTGCTCTCTAATGGCCCCAAGGGTGAGTGGCTAGGCAGGGACCCCAGTTTTGGGAGGGCAAAGTGGTGATGGGGAATGGGCAGGAAAGTTGGGAGCTTTCCTTCCATGAACAGTCCTATGGTACTTCTTCACCAGCTGCCTGGGAGCCAGAAGACTTCATCACTGGCCTGGGGGAAATCTGCTGCCAATATCCTCACTGGTCACTGCTGCAGCTGCTGACAGAGGTGGGGAACCCAGAGGGAGAGGGAGGACTGGGCCTACATTCGCTTGTTTCCACAGTGCTCTTCAAAACCAGTTGCTGCTGCATCATTCTGCCAACCTTTATCTACATATACATATGGGCCTCAGGACATGTCTTCACACCTCTACAGGACTCCCCAGATCCCCTGTTTCCTTTTAATGCTCTGTTTTTGCCCAAATTGTTCCCTCAGTATGACATGCCCTTCCTGTTGTCTGGCCTGCCTCACTGTCCCTTCCAGGCTGTCACTGGTACCCTTCCTGGTGCTCCTCGCATCTATGCTGGTGCGTCCAATCTCCCTTTTTGATATACAGACAATGGCTGTTGCCCTGTTCTACTGAGGGGCCCTGGTGGTTGAGCTTGCCTCAGGTCTATCTGGTCCTGAGGTCGAAATACTCCTCTGGGCAGTTCAGTGGTGTCGAGATGATCTGAAAGTGAGGGAGGGCTGTGGGCCCCAGCTCTGTTCTATGGCTCTCCCAGCCCAGCACCTCTCCAGATAGTGCCACCCTGGGAGCCTTCCTCCATAGATCTGTCCCCTCCTCCAGGGTGGATACTGCTTCTGTATACACTGATCCCTGGGGCAAGGTAATGAACTTGAGTGTGAACCAGAGCCTAGGTCTTCCTTAGGTCTCTCCTGCCTTCTCCATGTTCCTCTTTTACCCTGGCATGTGACCCTAAAAGCCTATAGTAGCCATGAGCTTGCTGAGTGTCCTTGGAGCCAAAGTCCTGGACCTCTGCTTGAGTTGCAGCCTTTCCCCATGGTCCCTTATAGAGCAGCTCCCTGAGATATCCTTGGGCCCCACCTTCCCCACCCTTCAGCTCTTCTGTAGGGTGACTGAAGAGTCTGCTGGGGACATTTACTGCCCAGTCCTTCGGAGCTCCTTACGGGGGACACTGTGCCTGGGAGGTGTAGAGCCCTGGAGGCTTGAGGTGAGAGACACAGGAGTTCAGTCATTTGGCTGCAGTTGCAGGTGGAGTAGAGGCTGAGGGAGGTGGAAGCAGGGAGAGGAGGAACTAGGAGTCCCCTCAGTCTACTGTGAATATTTCCTAACTCTTTATAGCCAGACCCCGGGCTCAGTGCACAGTATGACCTATCCGGGACCAGGGCTGCCCTCTTCCTGACTGTGATTCAAGACCGGCCTGGGGCACAGCATGATGTGGCAGCACTAGAGGACCTGTGCCAGGCCTTGGACTTCAAAGCCACCCTGAGGACAGACCCTACAGCTCAGGTGAGGTGAACCCTCAAGCTGGTACTACTTGGAAGGAAGGACACCCCCTGCCCCTAGAATCCCATAATTTTTCCTTCTGGAGTTCTCCCATATCACAGGCAGGAAGCACACCTGTGTGTCTAGGCTCTGCCTTCCTGCTTTGTGCACGAGGCAGTAACTTCCCTGCCTTGGGGACCCTGATCTCCAAGATAGAGACTAGAGAAGTGCCCCCAGTCCCATGGAGGGCAGCCAGGGGATAGGTAGCTCTAGTCCAGATCTCAACCTCCTCCCACTACTCCAGGCATTTTGGGAGGAGCTGGTTCAGTTCCGGGAGAGACTGGACACCCACCCAGATCCTGTGAGCTGTGCCCTTGTGGCCCTGATGGCCCATGGAGGGCCACAGGGGCAGCTGCTGGGGGCTGATGGACGAGAAGTACAGGCAGAGGCACTAGTGCAGGAGCTGAGCCGCTGCCAAGCACTTCAGGGCCGCCCCAAGATCTTCCTGCTTCAGGCCTGCCGTGGGGGTAAGCAGCCCTGCTTCAACCTGCCCACTTTCCCTGCCAGCCCCTGGCCTCCCACATTTGCCGTCTTCCTCCTCCAGGAAGCCTGGCCCTTCCCTGCCCCTCTTCCACGCTCTCCTAAAGTCAAGTCCACAGACTTGAGCCTGTCTGAATATTACCAACCCAGCAGGTCTGCTCCAGAGCTTTGGTGGCTGGACTCTTATTGCCCCACTACTTATCTGGAGTCCTGGCCCCCCAGAGGCATTCTCAGGGACCCACTGAGTAAAAGTATCTGCTGACCCCTCCTTCCCCAGGGAACAGGGACCCCAGTGTGGGGCCAAGAGCTCTCCCCTGGTACTGGCGCTGGCTGCAGGCACCCCTGGCCATCCCCACCCAGGCAGATGTCCTTCAGATCCATGTTGATGCATCAGGTGGGTCCACCTTCCTTCTAGAGTCTGGACTTGGCAGGTTGGTGGGAAGAATCATTCAGGGAGCATTTCCAGGGCTGTCAGCTCAAGTTCTGCTGCCACCTCTGCCCCCTCTTTGCCAAGACTAAAGGAGAAAAAAAAAAATTCCTAAGCTGCAAGGGCCTTTGGGAAGCAGAGGCTGCTAGTCCTAAGTGAGCCTGGCAACAATTTGGGAGTCAGCAAGGGGAATTCGCTTTTCTGAGTTCACACAGCCTAGATGCTATAGGGCTGAACTTTGGATTTCCATCCGTCTTTCCTGCCCTGAACACTTTCCACTGCCTTGTACTATTCTTGAGCCAGAGAGGACAAGACCCTGGGGCTTGTCAACATCCTGGGACTCCACCAGACCAGGGTCTTATTTAACTCCTTTTATAGGCAGCCCCTCCTGGGGTCTCATACCAGAGAACTCTGACCAAGCAGACATCCTTACTGTCTATGGAGCTGTGGAGGGTAAGAAGCCCATGGTCACTGTAGGCTCAGCTTCCTGCCCTAAGACCTGGAGTGGCCTTAATAGCAGCATGAATTTGGGGCTGAGGTACAGATGTACCATCCCAGCTGAAGTTAAGCCATCTTCCTCCCATAGTCTATTATTCATAGTAACAACGGCAAGCTCCTGTTAAGTGCTAATTGTGCCAAGCACTTTTCCTACAGAGTCTAAGTTATGTATGGGCAGGGCAGGTCTTTTTGCCTCAGGGCTCTGCCCAATGCCTGGTACCTAGTAAGTCCACAGTAAATGTTTGTTACATACTGAATCTACCCAAATATTCACTTTGCAAATGTCAGCAACTTGTTCCTGATGCAAGAAGTCTCTCCCCTTATTCTGGTCTTCAGCCAGATACCTAGGATCCTCTCTGCTTGCCCCCCTCCTTCTACCCACAACAGGCTCCTGGGAGTTGGGAGGCAGAGGGCAGGATCCTGACGCTGACTCTCTGGCATTGATCCCCTGACCTAGGCTGTGTGGCCTATCGGGATGAGAAGGGCTCAGACTTCATCCAGATGCTGGTGGAGGTTATCAGAGCCAACCCTGGAGGAGACCTCCTTGAGCTGCTGACAGAGGTGTGAGGGGTGGTGGGGTCCGGTGACAGATGAAGAGCTGGGCAGAGGAAAGAGCCTCTGTCAGATGATGAAATACATGTCACCCTAGTCAGAAGAATTCCACAGCAGTTATTAGTCACATATGTTACAGTTTAGGGGAGGAGGCCACCAAAGGCCAAGCATCCCAGGGGGATTCACTAAAGGGCAGAAGGAGCCACTAGGGGCTGTGGGAAGATGCCCTTTAGAGACAAGATGATGGGGTTGGTTTATTTGGATAGTTTTGTGGGCTGGAAAGGAGTGAAGCCCATTACATTGAAGTTAAGGTAGGTGCAACTGATCTGACTGATAGGGGATGGGGGCAGTGTTCCCAGTGGGTGGGGACTTTTGGGTGAGAAGACTTTGGGGCAGTGTGAGGTGAAAAGGTGTTCAGGTAGCACTTGAAATTTTAGGTCTTACAGAACAGTAAACAAGAGCCAGGCCTGTACCTGGGAGGTGGAGGCAGGATCCCCGAGTTTGATAGCAGCCTGGGCTACATAGTGAGACTCTATCTCAAAAAGCACCCCCTTCCCCCAAAAAAAGCCGGCAAGAAAGACTGACTGCAATGAGTGTGCCAGGCAGAGCTCCCTAGGGCCGAACGCCCTGGGCTCAGGCCGAGTGATGCTCCTCAGGTCAACCGGAGAGTTTGTGAGCTGGACGTGCTGGGGCCGGACTGTGATGAGATGCGCAAGGCCTGCCTGGAGATCCGCAGCTCGCTCCGGCGCCGGCTCTGCTTTCAGGACTAACGGCCTTGCTACATCCCTCCACCACTTCCTCGGCATCCTGTCATCGATGTAGTAGCTTGGGCGTGGGAGTTCTAATAACGTGCAATAAATGTCTGTTGAGATCATTGTGCTCCAGGCAGTGCATGCTCTTTCTGAAATAAGTGAGATAATGGTGAAGTTCTGGCACTAGATAGGGGAGCAGTGGTGCCTCTGGGGAGCCGAAGTTGGACTGGGATCTGTGCCCGGATTCTAGGACTACGAAACCCAGCAGGGCTAGGCTGGGTATGCTGGAGAGCCCGGAGGCGGGGCGTGGGGAGCGGACCTGGGAAGGGTCAGCTCAGGGACTGCAGCTCTTGCCCTGAGCCCCTGTGCACGCGTTCAAGTCTCCACCTGGCGCCGGGGCGATGGAAACGCTTTGTAGGCGGTCTGACCCGCCAGCTCAGTCGGGTCGGGAGACTGGAAGAGATCGCTGCACCACACCAACTAGTGAATTGATGGCTCAAGCGCAGGGGCTGGGGGGCCGCGAAGCGACCAGACCCAGAGCAGGGGCCAGCCAGGGAGGAAGAGTTCCGAATGGGGCCTCTCGGATCCAGAAGAGCTTCCGCGGGACGGAGGGCGCAGCTAGGTTCATAAAGATCGGAATTAACCAAAACGCCCATCCTGCAGACTCAGTCTAGATCAATCCAAGGGGCAGGAAATTTTTTCCTCTGTGGGCATGCGCAATAGTCACTTGAACAAGCCTTATAGAGAAAGCTAAGGGACTAGTGGATTGCAGGGCCGCGTGGCCTAATGGATAAGGCGTCTGATTCCGGATCAGAAGATTGGGGGTTCGAGTCCCTTCGTGGTCGCTGTGTAGTTACTGTTTTGTTTCATCTTTCTAATTAATCCTACTCTAGGATTTTCTTCCTGAGTTTAAGACTCCCTATACAACCTACCCCTTCCCTCACGGCTCCCAGGACTCCGACGCCGCCTGGTGTCCTTGGACGCAAGGGAACAGCTGAGCACTCTTCTACTGAGTAGCTGAAGCCAGAGGTCGCGAGCTACACCCGTTAGAGCTGAAGCAAAGAAAACTGCTAGATGCTGGTTTAATTGGTGTGGGGAAGGTTCCCCAAAGAAGCAAAGGACACTTCCACTTAAAAACCTAATAGGCTGTCTGGTTGTACAGTATGCTGAATGCAATTAATGTACTGAGTCGTACATTTGAATATACTTAAAGCAGCGACCTTGATTTATAACTATGTCCAAAGCTCTGAAGCTCGAGAAAGCAATCTAATAGAGTATTTAGATTTCTTACAATGTTAGTGTGAACTTGTCTGGACACACCTGTAATCCCAGCACTTGGGAGGTGGAGCAGGAGGCAAGCCTCGACTACTTAGGAATTGTGAGGCCAGCTTGGACTACACAAGACCCTGTCTCAACAGCAGTGATTACATGGTGTATGATTACGTCTGTAAATACACATTTACATTTTTTAATAGGAAGAGTGTATCCAGAATTGAGTTGACATTCCTCCTGAGAAAAATTCTCTATCCAAGGAATTCTAAGAGGAACAGTCAAGGTCCAGAGCCAACCGAGTCCCCGACTCCGCAACTAGGAGAACCACAAAAGGCATCGGCATAGGGCCAGCTCAGGTTGTGTAGAGTCATTCTGTCCTCCAGTGTTACAGTGGTTTAACAAAGGCTCAGAAATATAAGGAAAGTCACTTCCCCGAAGTTAAAAACACACGCTAACGTGCAAGAACATGATGTACTCGAACCCACAACCTACAAGCCAGCGGTCTCTGGTTCTCAGCTGTACTTGATAAAAAGAAAGGTAGAGAAAAAAGACCTGGCGCCGCCAAGTAACATTTTCTCTAAGAGACAGTGGGAGAGAAGGACCAGGACAGAGACTGGTCACCGCAAAGCACTTATGTTACCGGGCCGGCTCCTGCTCCATCTCAAACACATTTTCTCCAACTGTCTGTCCCAGTATTAAAGCCTCTAGTATTGTTATCTTGGATCCCTTGCACCGCGGTGGATCAATGAGCCGGGATACAACCCAGAGGCTCGTGTTTTCCGGCTCCATCTTCACGAGCTCGGTCTCTTAAATTCTAAGGATGTTCCAGGGTTAGCGAAATCAGAGCCGGAACAAGTACCGACAACGAAGAAAAGACGGAGATCCACCGGGAAACTGCGAAGAATCCTAGAAAATTCGCACAGAAATGGGAGAGATCAGTTGTAACAGAAAGATTGGTTGAAGACCTGCACAGATGTTGCCTTGTCAGCCCCGGTGGCCTAATGGATAAGGCATTGGCCTCCTAAGCCAGGGATTGTGGGTTCGAGTCCCACCCGGGGTACGTGGTTGATATTTTGCACCTGTTTGAAAAGATGTGGAAAGTGGAGAACTTAAAGAGGAAAACAAGGAAATTCTGAGGCTTTTGGATGCAGTCAAGTTAGCGGTAATATTTTGTTTTCAAATAAGAAATACACATTTTCAGCTTACAGAAAAAGCCTGTGCTTTTATCTGTTGCACTATTTTAAGAACTACCAATTATAGTTGATATTAAAAATACTAATTGTTCAGATCCCAGGTGTACAATTGTATGGTGTTTTTTGTTGTTGTTGTATGTTTTTTTTTTTTTTTTTTAAATGTTTGAGATAGTGTGTTGCTATGTACACCAAGCTGGGCTTGGATTCACAATCCTCCTGCATCTCCTTCCTGAACACTGGGATTACAGATGTGTACCTGGACTCTTGGCTAGATTACATATAGCTTTGAAAGACTTTCTTCTTTATAAACCCAATTATTTAGAGATTAAATTACACTACAACTGGTTAGTTTAAAATTGCAGGCTGAGGCTGGGGGCATAGGAACACAAGAACACATCATACCATTTTCTTGGCTTTGGTACTTGTTCGAAATAGTCTATAATGTTTTTTAATCCATGTAATGCATGACTTCAACCTTAGGACAAAAATTTCCCAAACCTCAAGTCCCGTGTACTGTAAAATTGGAAGCTTTTGATGCATTTTGTCCCAGAAAACTGTCCTAATTAATGCTGTGTCTTTCACACGAATGACTTCCTGAGGCTGAAAATTCACTTTACACTGTTATTCTGTAACGTGCAAGGTGAAACTATGTGTTTGATTTTTTTTTTTTTTTTTTTTTAGGAAGAGCAGCCCTGTGGTTCAAAGATGATTTTGTTTTTGGGTTTCTGAATCTGACTTTCTAGAGACTCAACCTGCAGCAGGAAACTTGATCACTTCCACTTCTTGATGCAGCCTGGTTAGTCATTGCTGAATCTTGGGAATTTCAAGGAGGTCCCAAGAAGCAGAGCCCTCCTTGAAGTATGCCACAGGCAAGGACCTGAACATTCTTTGTACTACACCTGGAATTTTTATGTAAATTTGACATTCAAAAAAATCAAGTATATAAAACTTAAATATTCTACAAAGCAGAGAGACCGAAGAAATAAAGGACTCCACAGCATTTCTGTAGCCCACATTTTGTTGGAACGTGGAAACCTGAACTCTCATACAAGTCACAATCTACAAGTTGCTAGAGCAAGTATCAAACATAGGTTGGAGTACTTTCCCTTTCTCTGGATCTCAGCCTGATCACAGGTTGCATGGTCACAGGTTGCAAAAGTACTCGCCCAACGTGGGGCTCGAACCCACGACCCTGAGATTAAGAGTCTCATGCTCTACCGACTGAGCTAGCCGGGCAACCACAACACAGCACTTTCCCCACAGACATCTTGGAGTTCTCAAGACTTCCGGGTTCTGACACGAGAGATGGATCTTGCATCCTAGGACATGCTCTAGAGTGCACGTCTGCATCCAGGGCGAGCGTCCATTTCCAAACTCAGAACAGGCGATGGCAGGGTGTTGCCGCAAGGACAGGCCAGGGACACCTTCCTTTTCAGGATCTAGTAAGATCTGGCTATCTTGCCACGTGCAAGGGGGAGGTAGAGTCTGGACCGTTCGTACACCCGCCGGCGTGGGAAGGAACGAACCGTTCCTCAGTCCAGTTCTAACTTCTCCCACGTCTCCGAGCTGCGTGGTCTTCAGGGCTGAGCTCAGGCCGACGTGGACTTGGCCAGGGACAGGATCTGCGGGATCTGTGTGCGATCCGGCTCTCCCCGGATGCTTGCGCTTGCAGTTCTGTCGCCTCGGGGTGCTGTACTTGGATCCTGTTGGGGTGAAATTTCTGGGCTGGAGTCCACCCCCACTGCTGAGCCGCAGGGTTGGGGTGAAGCCTGACCTCCACCGGACGTGTGGCAACTTTCTCTCAGTGTAGATGGGGCGGAGTCTCCCCCTCTCTCAGCTTCCCCGAGTTTACTCCAAAATAACGAATGACTTTCTCTAGGCAGGAACGACCATAGTGTAGCCAGCCGGAACAGGAAGGAGGCTTCCAAAGACCAACATTTGGCTCCATACGCACGGTGGCTCGTTGGTCTAGGGGTATGATTCTCGCTTTGGGTGCGAGAGGTCCCGGGTTCAAATCCCGGACGAGCCCGTCTGCTTTTGCAAACACTACTCAATTTTGCAGCATAAAGACTGAAGCTCGAGAGTGCAGGACCCAGGGACCCCCAGTGGCTACTACAGATGGCAAGGTGGGCAACCTGTGCGCACATACAAATGTCCACTTAGCCAGGTGGGACGCAAGTCCGGCGCTCACGTGTTGGCGAACCCCACTCACACGAGTAGCCTGAGACCCACTTTCTGCGACCCAAGACGGGAACAAGTACAAACCGCTCCCAGCCACCCTTGTCTCCGCTGACAAGTGGGAGTCGTGTACCTTGCCTCACAGGGTCCATAGATGGCATTTGCTCTGGGAGGATAGTTTTCCTTTGAGTGTTGTAGGATGGTCAGTTCAAATTCTGTCTGACCCATGTTCTGAAATGTCCTTTTCCCTCTGGGAGTGCTGCCCTGGAGCCTGCCATAAGTAAGGGGAGGAGACCACCTCCGCAGAGGCTGTGTACCCTCAGCCTTGGGACTCGCCAAGGGCCAGGGGCCACCATGGTGATGCTCCTCCCTCGGGCTTGTTTCTGAGTACTGGAAGAACAGCAGCATCTTAATAGGTTGTGTTATATATTGTTCAGGCACTGAAAGACCATTATAGGAGAAGAGGACTGCTACTAAGAGATAA